TCCAGAACTTACATCTGTTAACCATTCTTTTCTATTGTTCGTCTTCTTCTTGTTTCACTCATCCATTTGTTCAACAAGTACTTACTGACTGCTTATGTGCCATATTCTCTTCTAAATACTAGACATAGAAAGCCTCTGCCTTCATGTTAATTGTATCTATTTCTGGCAGTGATAACATGACATACTAAGTCATTAAACTGTTCAGCATTGTATTATGAGAGGGGTGGGGGATTTAAAGCAAAGGAAGTAAAGCCATCAAATGAATATCTGGGGATAATGTGCTCCATAAAGAAAGAAGAGCAAGTGCAAAGTATTTGAAATAGGAGGGCATGGTGTGTTTAAGCAGTAGAAGAGATGAAGGAAGTATGACTGGGATAGAAAAGGAAAGAAGAGGAGAAAGGGGATGTAGGGGGGTGAGATCACAGAAGTGACCAGAGAACAAACCCTGTAGGCATTTATAAGTCTTTGTAAAATCACTGTAAATCTGTTGGACAGTTTTGAGCAGAAGAATTCCATGATAAGAATGACATTTTAGCTGGATTCTTTTTGTTACTGCATTAAGATAGATTGTAGACAATACAGATAGAAGCAGTAACTCTCTGTTAGAGGCTATTGCAATTCGTGTGAGATATAGAAGTGGCTCATATTCTTTCTCAAGTGATGATAGCTTGGTCATGGTCCTAATAAAGTTATAGTTGGTAGTGGGTTGAGAAACTTTGAGAATGCTTTGGTAGTAAAGCCAGTAGAATCCATAGGGAAAATAAATGAAGAAATATGAGGTAGACCTCAATCATTGTTCTGTGGGTTTTAGGTGGAACAGATGCTGTGGGATGGATCTTGAGATGTGAATGATAATTAAGCAGCTGGATACAGAAGCCTGGACTTCAGGAGAGGGATACCTGAATCTGACACTCAGACTGTGGTGATTCCCTTTACTGCTGTTTACAATGTCTCATTGTTGTTGGTTGTTTTTGCTCTTTTGGGGGCCCGCCACCCAGCTCCCAAATAAACCATCCATGGAGACTTATTCTTAATTATAAATGTCCAAACTTAGCTTGGCTTGTTTCTTGCCAGCTTTCTTAAATTATCCCATCTATCTTTGGCCTGAGGGCTTTTATCTTTCTCTATTCCTGTTTACCTTTTCTTTCCTTCTTACTCCATGTCTGGCTGGGTGGCTAGGCGGCTGGCCCCTAGCGTCCTCTTCTCCTTGTTCTCTTACTCTTTCTTCCTCCTCCTAGATTTCTCCGTCTACCTGTTCTCTCTGCCTGCCAGCCCTACCTATTTCTCTCTCCTGCCTGGCTATTGTCCATTCAGCTCTTTATTAGACCATCAGGTGTTTTAGACAAAGTATCATATCTTCACAGAGTTAAAGTATATACTTCACTCAAGTGTAGCAAATGGAACTCTGGAGCTTTTTGACAACACCTGGGTTAATATATTCTCTGGATCCTTACTACAGTCTGTTCTTTAAAGCATCTCCCACCTTACACATTTCTATACATGTAGCAGCTTCCTCCTCTCCTTTGGTCTGTGCTGCCATTCTCAGTTTGAATGTAATCTACCCCAGCTCACCTGTATGAAGCAACTCCTGCTGGTGGTTTTTGATACGTTCTCCATCTTTTACCATTCACATTCTTGGGTGTTTGGGATAGTTCCTAACAAAGGTTGGATGATCAATAAATATTTCTGTCTTTCTTGTTTGCCATTTGCTCATTAATGAAACTTATAAATTTATGAATTATATTTATAAGGTAATAAAAGTGACATGTTAATGTTTTTCTAATACCACTAAATATTATGCTGGAGAGCCAATTGGGTAAAATGCTTACTGTGTAAGCATGAAGAACTGATTTTAGAGCAACAGTAGCCATATAAAAACTAGGCTCAGTGGTGTAGTAATTTCATTCCTGAGCAGAGTTAGGGGCTTGCAGAAAGAAATGGATCTCCCAGCTCATGGGAGCTCACGGACTATAGAATGACAGCTAGGGAACCTGCATTGGACCGACCTAAGCCCTCCACATTCGTGTGACAGTTGTGTAGCTTGGTCTGTTTGTGGGGCCCCTAGCAGTGGGACCAGAATCTGTCCCTGGCTCATGAGCTGGCTTTTTGAAACCTATTCCCTATGGTAGGATGCCTCGCTCAGCCTGATGCAGGAGGGAGGATCTTAGTCCTTTAGTCCTGCCATAACTTGATATACCATGCTTTGTTGACTCCCATGGAAGGCCTTACCTTTCTGAGGAATGGATAGGGGGTAGAAAGGAGGTTGGGGGAGGGAATGGTAGGAGAAGAGGGATGGGAAACTGTTGTTGGTATATAAAATAAATTTAAAAATTAATAATAAAAAAGCATATAAATAATAAAAAAGCATAAAAAATTTATGAGTTATGGGTTCAGTGAGAGACCCTGACTCAAAAAACAATGTGGAGGGACTGGTGAGAAACTCCAGTCCCAGGTGATCCAACACCTGACCTCTTTGGATGCCAGACATGCCTTTGGTGCACATGTAGACATGAAGGAAGAACATTCATACATATAAAATAAATAAATCTTTTGAAAATTAAAAAATATGGAAATGATTGAGGAAGACTCCTAATATTGACCTCTAGCCTCTGTGTGCTTGTCCATCTGTTCACAGGCATGCCTGCCCACATACACACACACACACACACACACACACACACACACACACACACCCTCACCCTCAGTTTTTTTTTTTTTTTTTAAATCTACAAGTAAGTTGAAAGACCTTGTCAGGTAGAGAAGCACAATTTTGTAGGAATTTGATTATGTTAACTCAGCCTGCATGTTAGCTTCTTGCCACTGTTTCTTACCAGTAGTTTTTCTCTGAGTTCTTATATCCTTAGCTCCCTCAGTAAACCCCCATGGGCTACTCCATTGCAAACACTGCTATTGCCTGTGATTTATGGGCCTCTGGACAGAGAGGCATACATGTATATCAAAGGTTCTCACAAAAAGTGACTGGGTAATGTTAAAAGTAAGTGCATGGGGCTTTGGAGGCCCAAAATGAAGGTGTTCTCACGGGCCACATATGGCCTGTTGTAGGGTTGAACTCCCTGCCCCATTGGCATTGTCGCAGAGATATTCATCTGACCTTGCAAATCTTACAAACGTATGTCAGGGTAGCATCTGCTCCTCCATCTGAATATCAAATCCCATTCAGAGCTAGAAGAGCAGAACTTGAGAAGTAATCCAAAGATGACCCTGTGTACCCACCTGCAGCTTGCACTGATCCTCTGGTGTTCTTAATCAGCCTTGCTAAATACTTCCTGTAGGGAAAATGAGGAATGATGAGGAGTAATCTTGCTGCTGCTTCTGAAAAATTCATCGACTGATTTACAGATATTACTTATTCATCATGCTATCCCATTGCAGAAGATGGGAATTCAATTCCAGCCTTAAAGGTTATGGGATCCCTCAAGGCCTAGAGTATATTAATGAAAAGTTGAGAACCTGACAAAGATTCAAGAATATGCATAGTGAATAGTCTTCCATGAAGCCTAGATTCTGAAGTAAATTTAGACACAGGGTGGGAATATGACAGTGCATTTCTCTTCAGTTTAAAGCAAACTGACTTTGGTATTCCTTGCATTGTAAGTAGTCCTGACTCAGGTCGCCTGGAGTAGGCATCACTGTGAGAACTGTAATACACAAGTAGAATCTGTTTACCTAACCGATTTCAGCAGAAGCTGACTCCATCCCACATGTTGGATTGCTTACAGTGAGTTCTCATTTTCCTCAAAAGGTGAACTCATACCTTCAGGATGCCTCTGTAGTTCAAATGATACCTATTTCCCATGCTTCTCTAAGCCACAAATCTAACTGTTAGCACTGTAGAGGACTAGCTCTAAAGATACTACTGAGTCCTATAGATGTGTGGTTTGTTTGCCTTAAACTACTCAAACTTTAACATGAAACATCTTATCCAAATTTAAATCCCCTTTCTTCCAACACTGATAGGGTCAGAAATAGGAATCTCATGCGAAATTTCTTCATTCTTCTTTGCAATTTACATTTTAATGTGTTGATGGAATCCCTCCATTAATTCTATCTTCCTACCAAGTGATGATGCATCTATTTCCACTTTAACCATCTATCTCATCTGTCTACTTATCTCACTCTATCTATCTATCTATCTATCTATCTATCTATCTATCTATCTACCTACCTACCTACCTACCTACCTACCTATCTGTCTGTCTATCTCTGTGTGTGTATGTACATATGTAAAAAAAAAAATCTCTTTAGTTATTGGGGCCTTGCGCATCTTATATGTGTTAGTCACCAGAACATAACACAGACTTAACCAGAACTTAACACAAAACACCAAAACTTAGAAATAATAAATAAAATAAGTGAATAAATAAATTAATAAGTAAACCCAAAACACTGAACAGTCTCTTGGGCTGCTGACACTTGTAATTCCTATCAGAATTGAACAGGCTCTATTGGTGCTTATGTCCTAGATTATTTTTATGAAATCCTGTCATCTTTACAGACCTCATGTTATCTAAATTTTAATATATTTTAAAACCTATAACCAAAATACTCTAAGTTTTAAATGAATACAAGGTTTGTGTATAATATCATAATTAAACTCTTCTTTCCTTTCTGCTTCATGACCGGTCTATGAGCTTGAACTCTGTAGACATGATATTAATCAGAGAAGCCACATGCATGGAAGGAACATATAGATGAAGTGCTAAAGCAAGACCTGCTGGTGTGCTAGGCGAACAAGCAGACAGTAAAGACTGAACTTGCTCATAAAGAAATGTATCCTGACCCCCAGCTCTGCCACTTTTCAGCTCAGTGGCCTGGAACAAGCAACTTGTTTTCTCCTTTGAGGAGCAGAAACAATGCATGCTTTCCTTTTTGCTTTATCAAATCTTATAGTAATGAAAGCGCTGTTCAGGTATTTGATGCTATCCCTTAGTTTTGCAATGTTCAAATACATGACTTTGAATTTTACCTTCCTTGCTCAGGTTGACATGATCGTGACCCTGGGAGGACTTGGTGGGCGTTTTGACCAGATCATGGCATGTGTGAATACCCTTTTCCAAGCCACTCACATCACTCCTTTGCCAATTATAATAATCCAAGAGGAATCTCTCATCTACCTCCTCCAACCAGTGAGTAAACAGTAGACCTCATCAGGACTCTGTTCACAGAGCCACTATTCCTGTAGAATAGGAGACTCCTTGGCTTGGCTTACGTCTTTCAGCGAAGATTGCTTGCTTGTAGTAGTTTGTTTTATTTTTATCTATGGCCCAAATGACTGAATAGCACATAGGTAGTAAAATACTCAAAATTTCTATGGGTTGTTGTTTTTGTTTTTGTTGAGAGAGAAGGGAAAGAAAATCTTATAACTTTTAAATAAATTCCCTAAGAATTAAATTTAGTACTTTTGCATTTTGAGCAGCTGAATATGAATGACACTTGAGAAAAGTCTCAACAGGGAAGCACAGGCTTAGCAAATATTTCAGAGGGGATCCTCGTGTATTTGGAGTGTTGTCATTATAATTGGAAACTGGATTTGATTTTGTTCAACAGTTTAAAGGAAATCTTTAGCTTTTACTATTCATAAGTTGCCTGATTATTAATTTTATTCCCTCAAGTAATTTTCTAAAGATGATGTCACTGCTTTCCAATCAATGTAAGCATCAAGAAATTTTCTGCCAATGTAGTGCACAGAATAGAATTCTTACTGTAGAACCAAATTCCATAAGGTTGACTGGGGCCTGCAGTTTAGCTTATTCTACATGAGATTTTTTAAGGATAGTGGACCATTCCTTTTTGCCTCTCATTATGTTATGGAACTAATAATTTGGTGTCTACCCCATCTGCTACATGCTACCTATAGAATGCCGGCATTGTAAACTGTCCTTTGCTAAGACAGTGGGTCTCATAGCATACTCACTTTTGTTCATCAGGTTCTGCTTTGTTTGTTTGGTTCGGATTGGGTTTTGAGCTCTTTTCATTGTCTCACTTTTTTTTGTTTCCTGCAAATATGTGTAACAAAAGCAGAATTCAGATTTCAGATTCCTTGCCAGCCTCTTACTTCATCAGCCACCAGGCTTGCAGTACTGGTTGCCTTTCTGTTGCAGTCCATGGCAGTGAGGATGAAGAGAAGGAGTTCTATTTGATCTTTACCCTCCAGTTCATGTGCAGCGAAGGAGACAGTGATCAAAACATAAGCATCATTGCATTAGTCAGTTTTCTGCTGTAATAAATTCCTATGATCGTCACCTGCTAAAAAGAAAGGATTACTGCAGCTCATAATCTTAGCAGTTTTAAGCCCAGGATCCATTGGACATTCAGTGGACATCATGGTAGTAACATGTGATGAGATAAAACCACTCCCCCTTCTGTCAGAGACACAAAGAGAAAAAGGAAGGAAGCATGTCCCTGTGGTCACCGTCCCCTTCTGGGTCACACCCTTAGTGATGTGGAGGCCTCCCACTAGAATCTACCTCCACACTCCACTAGGCTCCACCTCCATATTCCCAGTGCTTCCCAACAGTGCCATCCTGGACATAAAGTTTTGTCACATGGCCTGGTGGGGACACTTAAGGTCCAGTATGTAGCAGTAATGCAATGATTAAAGTTTAGTAAATAAAGATGTTGAGAGAATAAATAGTTTGGGCATCATGGAATAAGGAAAGGATTCACAGAAACACTCTGTTTATCCTCTCAACATTTTATTCACTGAATTCAACAATTCCTTAGAATACACCTACTGATGAGAAGCTTTTTTCCAGCAATAAAGCAGTCCAAAAAAAGAGGGGAAATACTCACTTCTTTGGGCATTTTACTGAGCTTACATTTCCACACACTCAAGAGTGAGTTGAGGTTTGCTATGAGAGATGATGGGAAAGTCACTGAAGACAGGAGCTACAATTGAAGAACAGTAGTGGTTCGGGGTGTATCCTAAAGTGTGATTAGAATGCTACCTCCAAAACATGTCACAGGAATGGTTCGTAACATTTTTTTCATTGATGTCCTGCATCCTCACTGTAGTTGGTAAGCTCTGGGCTTTCTGAAGCAGGCAGTTTGGGAGTCTTGGAACTCCCCTATCACGGCACTGCTGTCTGTCAGCGCTTCCCAAAGCCTCTCTACCGTTGTGTTTTCCTACCTTGTTCTATTTCTTTGTCCCTCTGCTGCCACTCCCATTAGGTGTGTCTAAGAGTCTCTGATGGTGTCACGTGCGTCATTCAACTTCTCTTTCATGATTTGTATGCCTCAGTCTCTCTGGACTTCATCCTTTCCTACTCTCACTTCTCTTCATTCTTTAATTCAGCGTTGTCTGGCTGCTCAACCCATCTACTGAGACTCTCATCCCTGCCCTCACATGCTTGCCCTTTTCACATTTGACTCTTAAAACGTAAGTGTCAAACAATAATTATTTGATATTCTAGAATAATTCGCATATGTCAGAATACTTCGATTTTTATTTTGTAACTTCAGTTTCTTCTATGTTGTGTGGTATATAGCTGTGATTTTGCATCTTTGAAATCTCTACCTGAGGAGATTGTCTGAGGCATGAGTTAAAAGCAAGCCCAAGGAAAACTTACATTTGCTTTCGTCAACCTCCTGAATGACACCTAGTCCTGTTTACAGGACCATTAACAACATGGAACATTCTGAGACTCCTATGGCATCCATTAGTGCGACTCATGATTGTAATACCTCTGGGACTTTGATGTCTGATGATAAGATGTGCCTTCTAATGTCCCTCTTCTCAGCTTTGTAGAGGCAAGGTTTGGTTGGGCCATTTTCCCAGCATGCAATGGGAGTGTTTATGTCCATTTTGGTATGTAGGGTCTCTGTCTTATATGACCATCCCCTAGACTTTGGGCTGATGTTCACCAATTTGGAAAACACTGTCAAGATGAAAGTTAGCTTTGGTCTTTTAAATGGAAACTCATTTTATTTCTAAATATTATTATTTTTAAACAGATCTGATTCTATTTAAAAGAATCCTTTTATTATTTTTCTAGTATCTCTAATATTTTCTATCATGTACTACAATAAGCTACACTGTCTCTCTAAATCACCAGTCATAATTAGCCCCAGATCTGACAGATTTTTCTGGAACTGAACGTTTTCTCATTAAGAGAGAATTTACTATAGTTTGGGCAGCCTTTTCCATTTTACCTTGCAGACAGCTAGACACGAGGGGCCGGGGGAGGGGCGGTGACTCTGCCAGAGCAGTGCTTCCTCTGTAATGGCCACCTTAGAAAGACTGTAGGTAGCCAGGGAACAAGAGCTGTGGGCCCAGGAAGAGAGGGCACCGTAGAAGCCCGGAACTCCACCTCTGCATAACTGCAGGAAACTCCAGTCCTAAGAATGCTCAGGCATCTGGCCCCACGTGATTTATGAGATTATAGCACAGTGTATCACCTTGTGCTTGTTAAAGGAGAATTCTGGAGTCTCCCAACATGCTAGCTGTGTTACTGTGGATGCTTTGCATCCTTGAAATAATTAGAAAATTCCTTATCCTCAAGAAATAACTATTACGTGGAGCAGGGTCAAAAGCTCATATTGGATCACACCTAATGACACTTTGAAGGGGGTCAAGGCCTGGCTCCAGCATCTCCCAGTGGATTAGCATTGCAATTTTATCACTGTAGTTTAGGGAGATTTTTTTTATTTTTATTTTTTAGAGATCAACTCTAGCACCCTGCTTTTGTACAACCTGTTTAGTAAAAGGATGGTAAGAAAATTTTAGTAACACAAATTAAAAGGCAGAATGACAGTGTGAGGGCTTTGATTGTTTGATGGTTCTGTGTGACCTTCATGCACTTAAGCAGTTTTGCTTGTGTATGTATGAAATGTGAATGACCTACAGATCAACTTGATACTAATGTTTGCTGAGACTTTTTCTTAAAAATAATTGTGCATCTTAGAGGAGAACTGGAGTGGTTGAGAGGAATATACAGAAGAGACGGCCCACAGGGTACTGTTCATTGTTACTAGGAATAATAGTCATGATTTTAATCAGAAAAGAAACATGATAAATTTTAATTGAAAACAGTTTCAAATATTGTAGAATTAAGCTCAAGAAAACCAAGACTGTTATGCCTTGTCATCAAATGGAGAATGGCTTGAGTTGTTTAAATTAATATTAATAGTCCACTCTCAGGTAGAGTGATAATTTTAATGCTTTAAAATGAAAGCCTTCACTTAACCTTCATAACAGTACTGTAAAAAAAAAAATAAAAAGCAAGGCAGATAATACAGTTATACTGTAAGGCTCTGACTCAACACTTTTTCCACAGTACTACATTTCCTCTCTCATGGAATTAATGGACTAAGAAAGAAATGACAAGCTCTTAAAACAAGTCATAGCCCATCGGCCGGTGATTATCCATAAGCAATGTGTAACTGAATGGCCAGTTTGTGTGTGTGTGTGTGTGTGTGTGTGTGTGTGTGTGTGTGTGTGTGTAGATTTAATATTTATTCCTATACATAGCATGCATACATATATATTTTATATACATACAAAATCCTATCTGATATTGATAGTTTTACCTATAACATTGATTTCAAATAATATAAGTATTAGGTGCACTATGGTTTTTGGCAGTGCTAGGGATCAAATCCAGGGCCCCATACCTGCTAGGCAAGCACACTATTACTGGTTCACATCTCCACCTTAATTGTGAGTGCATTTTAAGGCTATAATTTTTCCTTGCTACTATAATCTCAAATTATGAAAGATTACTTTCTGGATTTTTCTAAACCATAAGGAAATCTAACTATAGCAATAATCTTTATAATATAAACAGATCCAATGAGATAACATTGAAATACATTTACATTAAAAAAAAGTAGTAAAAATCAGCATAACTGTTAATTATTCTGAGTGTTAAGTTTGGGAATGAGTGTCTTCTTGAATTTCCTTTACAGTTATATATTGTCTGACATATAAGATAGCTAACAAGAAGAATAAATCAATCATATGAGAGATTTGTTATTTTAAGTGTAACTTCTAACAGATGTGGTGCTGTGTCTGCTGTATAAATGTTAACTGGCCAAGGACTCTTCTAAGCCTTGAGACTAAAATGTACTTAATTTGATCTTTCTTTAAAGCTTCTATATCAAGCAGTCATAGGTTCTATGATGTTCT